CCGCTTTGGCAAACCTCCGAAGCACGATATAACCAAAGGACCCGCTCAACAAACACGGTACCTGTCAACTGGAGAACATCAAGGAAGAGGAAGGGGTAGAGGACTTATGTTTGACTATTTAGGTGGTGAACCTAGTACGTCTAATCCGATTTAGGTAAGTCTCTCTGTTTGGTACTACTAGGTATAACTGAGTATGACTGTGTTATGTGTTTGTAATGGATTTTTGGGACAACTCTCTGTTTGGTACTACTAGGTATAACTGAGTATGACTGTGTTATGTGTTTGTAATGGGTTTTTGGGACAACTCTCTGTTTGGTACTACTAGGTATAACTGAGTATGACTGTGTTATGTCTCTGTCTATACCTCTACGTATTTGGTACCACTACTACACGCACATCTCTCTGTCTAATACTACTATGTTTTTTACTTATTAATACTTAGTACTGTGCAAATTAAAAAATTTATGAAAACCAAACTTTTTACTAAAACCAAGCTTACACCTATGTAAATGTAAGGTAATGTTTGAGTAGAAGCACTAATTTTTAAGTCAAACATTGAAAACTTTTGTTTTCATAGATTTTAATATAGGAAACAATGTAAACTAAGTTGAAATAAATTAATCAGATCAGTCCTACTAGAAAAATTATATTTTCACCTAGATATGACTAATAAAATGTAAAAAACATCAAAATATGACTATGTGTTAAAGGGGACTACTTAAATACTAAGTATGACTATGAGTAAAATTTTAATAGTTTTTTATTCAAAAGACGGCTCACATGTTAAATATGCTGTATTTTTCTTAATTTTTTAATGATGCAACCACATGTTTTGCACGTTTTCATTAGGAGGTTCATTTTGAAGTTATACCAGTTATACCATTACTTTTAAAAACAAGAATATCAATACTTAATACTTATAATACCATATCCGATTAAGCACCTGAAAAAGTAGTAGTTTCAAAATAACAGTGGTACCAAAATAACCTAAACATCATCCAAAATAACAATAAGTACCTAAACATCATCCAAAATAACCCGTTCATCATCCAAAATAACAATAAGTACCTAAATAAGTACCAAACACTAGATTGGTTCTCTACCTAACTATCATTTTTTGGTTTTTTGCCTTGTACTTCTTCCCTCATTGTTATCCTTCCTTCCCTTTTACTTCTCAACCTCCGCTTCAGCTTCAGCTTTGATCTTCTTATTGGGTTTCTCCTCCGTATAAGGTGGTTTCTTGTGACGTAATGGTTCTGTTTTCCTCTTCGGCCTTGGTGTTCTCTCCTTTGTCACTTTCTGCTTGTCCACA